GCTCCTGAGTTAGATCTTGTTAAAAAATATTAGTCATTTTTCCTCTTATTATATCCTTTTTTCGCATTGTCAAGAACATGACATCCATCACTTTTCATAAAAAAGATTCAACTACTTCTAGTGTACCATTTATTATTAGCAGTGTAGTAATGGATATTTATCATCCGAGAGTAAGATTGTTATTCATAATTAAGAACAGGTTGTGATGGGGTACTCTACTCCTATCTCATCCAGAGGAGTTTCTTGAAAATTGAGTCTAATTTTATGTTTTCTTTTCAGAAAGAAAAATCACTTCATTTTACTGTTAGAGAACCAATAGGCAATTAGAGTTTCTATAAAGATTCGTTGGAATATATGTTTTCCAGGTCCAACAGATTGACAAGCCACATGATTAAAATTCCTAGGAATACAATACCAGTGTGTATATATACAGAAAAAAAAGTGAGTAACATAGTTGTGTCATGGAGAGTCGTATGGATAGACCCAAGAAACAATGCAACTTTCTTAACATATGAGATAACTTGTTGACAATCTGAGGGGACATTCAAGTGTGGCACCTGCTTTTGTGAGACCATGAGGAGTATCTCTTTAAGACCATGAATGTTGACACTGAATGATACTCTTTTTCAGTACCAATTATTATTAGTTCACGTGTAAGCATTATATACTTTTATGATTAATATATTATCACATAAGTAATCAATTTTAGGTTTAAATAATCCTGTACATTTAATAATAAAAATTTTTATTTTTTCAAAAACATTTATTATTTTTCTTGGCTTTAATATCCTACTTGCATGTGAGGTCCGCTCGTCTCGTCAAGTCGCAGGTCCACATGAAGCCGAAGGAAATGTTTAGGTTACCCGAACATGAAGAAGATTTCATGCATTTAATCTCCTTCGGTTTGAATCCAAACTTCATAATTATATTAATTGAAATTAAATATCACAAGGGAGCAAGACGATGAATTTATTATTATTATTATTATTATTTGGATCATCAAAATTTTAGTCAAACAACATCCCGGCGAAACCATCGACCATCCCTTGGTCGGCGTGTGACGTGGCACCGTCGCTCGCGGTCGAAGACTGGTCATGGGTCTTCCGCGTTCAATCCGCGTCGAGGGCAAAACGGGTATTTCATCCAACAAACACCCAAATGAAGAAAGTGGAACCCCAGGAACATCTGCGACACCCACGGGAGGAGAAGAGGAGCACCAAATTACGAAACAACCCCTGCGACGCTCCTTCCGAAATGACCAGTTTGCCCCCCTCTGAGAAGTGCTCGTCGACGTGGGTCCCACACGAACCCGCGCGGGGTCCGCTGGCCGCGTCGCAACCGCCCGATGCCGCGATCAGACGGACGACGACGACGACGGCGTTCGTACGAAATCCACCGGCCGCCTTCGGTTTCGTGGATCTCGACGCCACGTTTGCCACGACTTGAGCACGACAGGTGCCACCTAAACTAGCAAAACCTTTCACCGAACCATTTGTTGGCGGCTACCTGTTTCGTCATTGGATCCTCAGCTAGGGCCCAGAACTTGTAGCTGCTGTGGCCCACAGGTGGGGCTAAATGGAGCGATCAGGCATGGGGTGTCTGGCCCACCGATTTGGACGGTGGTGATCTCTGTCTACGCCCAGGGAAGGGACGGCCTGGGAGATCGACATCATCTTGAGGTTAAAATCGTCAACATGTTCTCTTTCTGAGATTTAGCAACACGAGGAGGGGCCTTTGTGGAAAAGGAAGACGTGACGTACCGATATAAGAGCCGTCTAGGGCTAGAAATCCATCGCCAACGGACTCATCATCGCCTTCATCACCTTTGTGCTTGTTCGCTGATCGTTCTCTCTTCGTCTCTCTGTCGCGAGATCGATCGCGGAGGCAGGAATGGCGGAGCAGCTCACGGACGACCAGATCGCTGAGTTCAAGGAGGCCTTTAGCTTGTTCGACAAGGATGGCGATGGTCTGAATCCCCCTGGATCCCATTTTGTTCTCCACCTCTTTTTTACTACTAGATCTGTGCCAAATCTTGTGATTTGACAGTTTCTTATATGTTTATGTGATTTCTTTGATCGGATCTAATATTTGTTTGTCTGTATTTTTGGGTTCCGATGGTTGGGACGCAACTGATATCATCATCGATTATATGATCCCACACACTCCCTAATATCTTATCATTTTTGTGTGCTATTACTTTACTATGATGATTCATTGGTAGGTTCTGTAATTATTTTCTAATTATGCTTTAAATATATTATTAATCACTCAAGCAATTTGTTTTTTTCAGAAAGTGAGGATTAGTTGAATGAGTTAGACTGCAACAATAACAAGTTGTCATTTCTTTGTTAGATTTATATGATAAATTAGTCAAAACTTAAGCTTAGTCTTCCGAATAATAATATACCGAACTAGAATCTGGATGACATCAATTGCTAGGTGGGAATACTCTGGCCTTTTGGGTATGAGTCATGCTTAGGTTTCATAAATATATTGATTTTACTGACAGAGTCAAAGCTAGGTCATTGCGGCATGAAGTTGGCAGAGCAACTCAGTCCAACATAAGTAGTAATTGGATGCTATTATCTGCCCTGCAGTTATTAGTTGATACCAAGAATGTTTTGGAGAAAGAATAGAGTTACAGATGAAATTTTAGGTGGACTACAAAAAAATGTTGAACGTGTTTGAGGAGACTAAGCACTGGTCTGCTTGTGTGTTACTTCTGAATGCTTGATCACTGTATGGTAATCATGCTCCATTTTTATGCATCAGGATTTTTGGCATATAATGCCTAAGTGCTGTTTGCTTTATGCTGATGTTTAGCACCTTTATTATCATCTACCTTTCTGAGTCAGTTATTCATGCACTATATATGCTTCATTTTGAGCACTTAAGCTTGTAAAACCGTGGTTTTCTCATGTATATGATGAGTCAAGTTCTGCTACTAGTAGCAGTAACTATATGCCATTTATATGATCATGCAGATTAAAACCAACGGAGCTTGAATATTTGGATAATCCGGTTGTATCTCGGCAGCCCATAGCTAGCCAATATCTTTATAGAATTTAAGGGTTACCCATATCTGCCTGTACATTATATGGAAGGTTCTACTCTACAAAAAAAAGAATAGGTCATTTTTTATGGAACTCAGTGGCATATATGAATATATTTTTTTTCTTACTAAATATTGGCTTGATTTGTAAGTTACACTGTTTGGAATTAGATTTACGTATTAATTATGAAGAGTTGGAGAAGTAAGTTTCATATTGCTATATAGAGTTTTGAAGTGCTCTTATGGAATTACTATAGGTTGTATTACGACCAAGGAGCTTGGGACTGTGATGCGCTCTTTGGGTCAGAACCCTACAGAAGCAGAGCTACAAGACATGATAAATGAGGTTGATGCTGATGGCAATGGTACTATTGACTTCCCAGAGTTTCTTAACTTGATGGCTCGCAAGATGAAGGATACCGATTCAGAAGAGGAGCTCAAGGAGGCCTTCCGAGTCTTTGACAAAGACCAGAATGGCTTTATCTCCGCTGCTGAACTTCGCCATGTCATGACCAACCTAGGAGAAAAGCTCACAGATGAGGAAGTCGATGAAATGATCCGCGAAGCCGATGTCGATGGTGATGGCCAGATCAACTATGAGGAATTTGTCAAAGTCATGATGGCCAAGTGAGTCCCCACCACAAAACAATAAAAACAAATGCGAGGAAATTTCATGGCGGATAAGTTGCATGATGTTGATCTGTTTCCTCAGTTACCTGAGTAGGTGAACTAAAGATGGGTGTCTCTCATGCTATCTTATGGTAATGGCTGTTTGTTCACCACTGCTTGTGTATCTGTCCCTTCTTCATTGGAGTGTTTGGTTTCAGCTGGAACTACATGTATGCTTCTCTTGTGTTGATCTTTCTTGTTCTAACATTACAAGTTCTGAACAATGAAGATATATTTTCTTCGCCAACCATGCACCAGTTTCATAGATCCTATTCTTATTATCTGGCTTCTAATCATATGTAGTCTGTCAGGTGCTTGGGATGGTCCATTGAGTCTTTCCTTGGTTCTCAGCAGCAGTAGAAACAGTAATTGCAAGTTAATTGACCTTGTCTTGTCCCTCTTTATTCCTTGAATCTTATGAATCAAGAAAGATCAATGGAAAGTCTTTGCCGGTGGTTCCTTTTCTCTTTAATTGCTTGACCAGATTGAATCCGAGGCTTATGTTTTCAACAAGATGTTACAGCATCGTCAAGACTTGTAATCACCTCTTAGATCCATGGTTCATTAACTGGGTGTGTCCAGTGACAACACAGGAAGCCGAAGCCATATGTGGATGGCAGCTGCAATCGTAGCAAGGGATTGCAACCCAAGTTACCAAGGTTTTAATACCGAAAACAGTTCTATGCTTACAGAGATAGGATTGGATAGATTTATCTTTCTTGGATCTTAGATTACTTCCTATATTATCTGTTCTGTGTCACAGCTAAAGAGGGAAGAAGGAAGGATATAAATGTTTGTCCAATATTTACAAGATCTAAGATTGGACAACAAATGAACGTTGTAGAAACACTGGCAGTCCAGATTTAAATGCTTAAAAGACATAAAAGAGAAGAAACGAATGCTTTAAGCCTTCAAGCACCATTATTTGGGCATATCGTCATTCATATTCTCTTCGAGTTTGCAGAAAACATCCTTCGAGTTGAGTTGCTTCATGAGAGAGGAAGCTACAGCTCGCTTAATCTTAGCGAGAAAAATGAAGGAAAAAAAACCTTCCTGGAAGCAATTAACAATGCCAAGTATGCAAACAGTCACAAGGATCTTCTAATTCTGCATGTGCAATTGAAATTAGATTCAGTAACCAAAATTATTGATTCAGATTATGTATTTGGAACCATTTTCCTCGCAACATGACAAACATTATGCAGTCCAGGCAAAAGATTCTGCAGCCAACAAGTTTTTTCACAGTAACAGAACTTTACAGTGCATTACCAGACCTCACAAAAGAGACAGATCGATACATATTATTAACATATCGAATCTCACACCACAAGAATTGAGTCTTGAGAATGAGAATGCCAGTGAGATCACGAGCTCAATTAATCTGAAAGTTTTTTTTCCGCACCTGAAACACAACAAAATGGATATATGACTTTCACAAACTCGGGCGATGCTATCCAACAGTAGATAGATGACTTTCACATATTTGACCCGCATATAAAACAAGAGAATGTTCAAAAAAAAAAAAAGGAATGGGCACCAAAGAACCCTTGCATCTCAACAGTCGAGGGCTTAGTTACTAGCAGCCTGCTTAAAGAACCAGGGATATATGATACAAAGATGAGATAGAAGGCCAAATGAAGGTCTTCAGTCTCCAGGCCCCGTCATTTTGGTATATCATCGTTCATATCCTCCTCAGATTTCCAGACGACATCCTTTATTTGTGTAGACAAACTCCTATAGAACTGCAGATGACAAATAATTAATATAGTCATTGATCTGAAGCAGAAAACTATCTAACTAGGAAAATTGTTATTCGATTTGAAGTAAGGTATTCAATCAAAGGAGATCACATCCAAAGATGACTCAGCCATCTAATCAATACCTTCTGGAATTCCAGAGTGTCTCCTTTTGCTTTCCGTACCTCAACCATATGCAAAGAAGGGGCCACTTGGAATATCTGAAAGTAAACAACTCTTAAGTTAGAATATAACAAAGGTTTTTGGGCCACTCTGAAACTTAAACGACATATTGTTAAACTTTAACCTCTGTTGCAACATTGAGATATCCTTTTCTCCCTGCCTTCACATTTTCAAGCCGCATCTACAAAATAAGGATGAACTTTTAGCGAAAGATTAGAAGCTAAAACATTGAGATTCTGATATGCTGCATTGACCAGTCTATAAGCAGAATTTTTTCATTTAAAAGAGGAGATAAACTAAGCATAATAAGTTCATCTGTTCCACGGATTCAGATACCATACCTTGTAGTTTTTCTTCTTAATATCGAAGCCAAGAGGCTTTGCAGCTTCTTCAATCTTTTTAATGATTTCTTTAGCTGGACACTTTGATGTAAACCTAGTTTCCTTTTTGAGTTCCTATCAGGTGCAATATGAATAAAATCATATCCAATAAGCAAAAGATGCCACACTAGAACGACAATTTTGACATGTTCAATCCTCAAAATTAGATTAAAAAAATCACAATAACTTATTTATATAACTGAGTATTAAGAAAAGAATTGAAGTCCAATAAACATTAAAAAAATATTAAGAAAAGAAAGCTATTCTTCAGGAATTGAAGTCCAAGAAATGTGGAGACTAAGGTTCAACTTCAATTCAAGAGTCAGTGTTCTACAAAGCAAAGTACCAACCAGATCTTTGTCAAACAAATTTCCAAGATTGAGGCCCTTTGACATTGAAATCAGTTCAAATGCATTCATATGCTGTGGTTGCTCCTCGGTTCTTTCTGCTCCATGGTGATCCTGAGTGAAAAATTCATGGTAAACTCTTCTGGATTCTGGGATGAAATTTAGCTGACCTCTAAAGTAATAAGAATGAAGGTTTGCAATGATCACTGTTGAGTGCCTTCCTATAACTCACTTTCGAATCTCTGAAAGCCACATTGATGTCATCCAAACATATGTGATGTTTTTCTTCAAAACGAGGTGGTTTATATCCTTTTCTGAACCATGCATCTTCCAATATTTCAGGGACAGTTAATCGCTGCCATCAGACAGAAAGTCAAGCTGCAATGGTTAGGACGTTAGAAGTTAGAACTACAACAATTCTTTTCTAAATTAAACACGAGCTAGAGAAATACAATCTGGGCTATTGAAGGAAAATTATTATCAATTTTGACATGAGAAATAAAAAGTTCAGGGAGGGCACAAAAAGCTTTGTTCCAAGAAAAAAAATTATTTTCATAACCATATATAGCAGACATGACCAGGTATTAACTTTCTTTAATCACCATGAGATTTTCATTTAATCACCATATATAGCAGACATGACCAGGTATTAACTTTCTTTACAGAAATTCTTTCTTTTTTTCAAGTTTGAAAAAAATAATTTGCAACAAGAAACAAACAACTGATTTCAGTTGGACAATTCTTACAAGAAAATTTAACATTGGCTAAATTGGTGAGAATCTAACTTTTAGATTGGTGATATCATTCTTCCAATTTGTATAATTACCAATAACAAAGTTATAGTAACATGATTTAAGGATAAAAACTTGAAGTACATCAAACTTAAAATGACACGATCCTTGCCATATTGTTGTGCAATATATACATACTGTCTCAGGGTTAGGATCAAGTATTCTGGCTATCAATCGCATAGCATCAAAAGAAAGCCAAGATGGGTAAGTAAACTCAGCAGCTGATATCTGCAAGTGGAGGAAAAGTTCCTTGAAGAGATATGAAAAATAAAATAAGAGAAAAATTAGATAACTCAGACTATGTTAACCTTTTTATACAGAGTCATAAGATTATCATCATCAAAAGGCAAATATCCAGACAATAGTACAAATAGAATAACCCCACATGACCACAAGTCTGCAGTTGCCCCATTGTAACCTCTGTCTTCAATGACCTATTCAGAAATATCAAAGAATTTCATTCTACTTAAAAGTTATCGGATATCCAATAAGAATATAATATGTAAAGAGTTATTAGCACCTCAGGAGCCACGTAGTTGGGAGTTCCACAAGTTGTATGAAGCAAGCCATCACCCTGGGAAAATTTGCATTTACAACAAAGAATCAAGATCAACAAGCAATAATAAGCCAAACAAAAGGGTTGTATGCTTTCTGAAAAATAACACAACTGTCTCTTAACAGGAAAATAACTCAAGTCTATAGGTATATATGCTGGTATGGTTCAACCAGTGTTTACTGGTCCGACCATCAACTGGTACACAGACTACCCAAACCGAGCAGTCCGATCTGGTTATATATATATATATATATATATATATATATATATATATATATATATATATATATATATATATATATATTCATTCTTTGTCAATTTTAGTTAGGGTTCAGGACCATCCCGATTCCTCCTGCTCATGAGGAGGCCCGCACTGCTGCTGCTACCAGGTAGGGTTTAGGGTTATGCTTAAAAGGGTCCTTTTACCATAGGGTTTACAGCTTTCATGTATGCTTACTTATAGCTGATGGTTTCACTTATTATAGTTGCACTTTATGATTTTTACACTTTATTGGTTTATGTTTATTATTATTATTAGAGCAAAAAATGATTAATTTTTTAATATGAATCATTTATCATACTTAGATTAAAAATCAAAGAGCAAACAAAAATAAATAATAATTTAGAAAAAGGATATAAATTAAACTGTAGAGTTCCTGAAGAACATCAAATACAATCTCTACGGCTCTCCTAAGCCTGGTAATAGATTGTCTTATAAATCTTTCAGAAAACCTTTGAACGACGAAAACAACAAGAAAGAGCAAACAAAGAAATTTCAGAACTTATAGGTTCAGCCAAAAGACTAACTCATAGTAATCAAACTTTACTAGGAAATTAAAGTAGCAGTAGAAATCATTAAACAAAAACAGAATAAAAAGAACTAAAACAGGCAGTAGAAACAATAAATATTTTAGATCCTAAAATTATAGAATAAAAAACTAAAAAATTGGTAATAAAATTACAAATGGAAGTAGAGAACATTAAAGAAATAATTAAAAGTCTACAAACACGAATAAAAGAATTAAATAAAATTGTGCATGAGTAAGGAAGATAAAATTTTAGTCAAAGGCATACATAAATTAAGAACAAAATAATATACATACAACTGATTTTGATACAGCTCAATATGAGAGAAATAGTAATGAAAATCAAGCAGCTATCCTCAATACAATACTAGAATATTTGATACAAACTAAAACAGAAATTATAGAGAAATATAAAGGCTAGAGCAATTACAACTAGAAAAATTAAAAATCCCATCGAGAACAGCAAGATTAACTTAAAATAAGAAACTAGACTTTTCTTTTTTAGCTGAAACCTTTTGTAAACCATTCTTCATTCTGAATGATGTAGTTTGCTTGTTTATAAAACTACTTTTTGCAATCTGTCATATGCCCAATTACACTACTTAAGACCATTGGTCCTTCTATGTGTAGAAATCAGGTGGATCAAACCTTTTAGCTTATGGTTTGCAGCTTTCATGCATATAGCTTTAATGTGCTATTTACAATAGCCGCTGTTGATATCATTGTAGTTATTCTTTACTGTCTTTGTGCTGCCTTAATTGTTGGTATCAGACCAAAATGTTTATCTTCAATATAGATCATTTATCTTATTTAGATTTCGAAATTAGAAAGCAAATGAAAAATAAAAAAATAATTTAGAAAAGGATACAAATTAAACTGTAGAATAGCTAAAGAACATAAAGTATATAGTCTTCAAGGTTCCCCTGTAGAAAATCTGATAATAGATTGTTTTATAAATCTCTCAGAGAATCTTCGAGAACAACAAGGACAAACAAACAAAGAAATTTCAGAACTTATTGACTTAGCCAGAAGACCAAGCCATAATATAATCAAACCTTATTAGGAAACATTGACTATATAAGAGAGCAAATTAAGAAAGTAGTAGAAATCATCAAACAGAGTCCAAATAAAAGAGAATTGAAAAAGGCAGTAGAAACAATAAATATCTCAAGTCCTAAAGCGATAGAACAGGAAACTAAAGATCTAGTGATAAAACTATAAACTGAAGTAGAAAAAAAAAAAAATGATAAACACAAATAAAAGAGAAATAAAATTATGCATGAGTAAGGAAGACAGAACTCTAGTAAGTCATACAAAAATTAAGAACGAAAAACACTCCTGTAACTGGTTTTGATACAGATATATATGAGAAAAATAGTAATCAAAATCAAGCAGCTACCTAAAAACAATATTAGAATATTTAATTCAAACTAAAACAGAACCCATAAAAAGATAGAAAAACTAGAACAATTACAATCAGAAAAACCAAATATCCCTTCAGGATCATCAAAAGAAACTAAAAATAAAAAAATTAGACTTTTCACATATAGAATTTAAAGCATCCAGTGGATCAGAAGATGGAAACCCAATTTAAAGAAATTAATACTAAAAAAACAGTGAAAAAACTATTAAGAGGAGGATAAAAAACAGGAAAAGAATTAGCATTATATGAACAAGGAGACACACAAGCATTTATTGAAAATAATCTTAGAAGACAGATAAAAAAGGATGTTTAACATATAAGACTAGATTTTTTGAAGGAATCAAGAAAATAATAAGACAAGTAAAGCAATGCGATATAGCATGTGTAGATAAGGCAGTCACAACAGACTTCAATTCAGATGAACTGCAAAAATCATTAACAGAATCTTCAAAATTTCATATAGGACTAATAGTTATTGGAATTGTAACCCTAGGAAAGGAAAGGAGTAGGAGGAATAGTTATGACATATTTTTTTGAGGACCAATTCAATAATCATGATCAAGCCAAAATAGCTATGCACGAGTGCAATATGAATGACAACTATGCTGGAATAGGATGTATACCAGAATTCTTACAATTTATCAAGATAATGTTTAAAAGAAAAAAATTATGACATCATTCCAGAAGCTAATAATATTGCAGTCACCATAGGCCCAATAGGAAAATTACACGACGACTCAAGCAAGGGATTTTTATTAAAAACAGAAAAACTAGTAGAAAGCTATGCAAGCAGAAATATTTAGTAAGTTTAACTTAAAAAGTGGGTTTGACAAATAAAAACGCATGAAGAAACTATCTCTACTTGCAAAGCTTTTCACTAACTTTTTTGCAATTAATAAAAATCCTACATTCGAATCATTGTGTAATTTTATAATTAATTCTACAGTAAACTGCAATATTATTTGCTTTTGAGATCATATCATAATTTTTGCTTTTAAACAGTATCTTATCGTATCTTAAGAATTCTACGAGGTTCATAGAAAAATTTGGTATGCATCCTATTACTGCATAGTTATAATTCATATTACACTCGTGCATGGCTATTTGGTAGCCTTGATCACGGTTCCAGAACTGTTGGTTTCGATTCTGATTTCTCGAAACTAGGAACCAAAACTGAACCACATAGGTTCCGATTCTAATTCCAGTTTGGGAGTTCTGGTTCGAGTTCGAACCATCAATTTTATTATTTTTAATTATAAATACTTTAAAATATGATAAATTTGTAATTTTATATCTAAAATTTAGAAAATAAATGTATAACTATAATGAGTATAATGACATTAAAAAAAGTTAATATTAAAAGGAATAAAATTAAAATTTTCAATAAAACTAAATTCATCTACTAAAATTTGAACCCAAGTTACTTAGGTTTAAAGTTAAGAATTTAACCAATACACCATAAGTTCTATATGTGATCTGTTTTTATTTTTTGTCCTATTTAACCGGTTCGAAATCAGAACCGTCAGTTTCGGTTTCCTAAACTCAGGAACCAGAATCGAACCATGTCGATTCTCGTTCAATTTGGAACTGGCGAACCACCAGGCTAGTTCGGTTCCGATTACAGTTCGAACCCAACCATGGTCAGGGCTACTATTTGGGCTTGATCATGGCTATTGAACCGATCATCAAAAATATATGTCAACTGTTCCACCTATCAAATTTACAATTCCTATTAATATCAATCCTATATGAAAATTTGAATACTCTGCTAATGATTTTTGTACTTCATCAGAGTTGAAATATGTTATGACTACTTTATCAACACATCCTATATCGCATTGCTTTCGTTGCCTTATTATTTTCTTTTTTCCCTTAAAAAAATTTGTTTTATAAGGTGAACATCTTTTTTTATTTTTTCTGAGATTATTTTCATATGTCTGTGTCTCCCAAGCCATATAATGCCAACTCATTTCCTTTTTCTAAGCCTCCTCTTAGTAGTTTTTTCACCCTTTTTTTTAACTGATGATTCCTTTAAACTGGGTTGTCATCCTTTAATTCATTAGATTTTGATGCTTTAAATTCTATTTGCATAAAGTCTAGTTTCTTATTTTTAGTTAATCTTGTTGTTCCCCGAAGGGAATTTTTATTTTTCTAGCTGTAATTGTTCTAGTCTTGTTATTTTTTTTCTATAATTTTTGTTTCAGTTTGGATCAAATATTCTAGTATTTAGCTATATCAAAATCAATTGCAAGTATATTTTTTGTTCTTAATTTATCTATGAATTTTACAAAAAATTTATCTTCCTTACTCATGCACAATTTTATTTATTTCTTTTATTTGTGTTTATAGGTTTTTAATTGTGTCTTTAATGTTCTCTACTTCCATTTGTAATTTTATTATCAATTCTTTAGTTTCTTGTTCTATAATTTTAGGATCTGATATGTTTATCATTTCTACTACCTTTTTTAGTTCTTTTTTATTCAAACTTTGTTTAATTAATTCTACTGCTTCCTTAATTTGTTCCCTTATATAGTTTATATTTCCTAATAAAGTTTGATTACAATGACTTGGTCTTCTGGCTGAATCTATAAATTTTGAATTTTTTTTGTTTGCTCTTTCTTATTGTACTGAAAGGTTTTTTGAAAGGCTTATAAAACAATCTATTATCAGGTTTTCTATGGTAGAGCCTTGGAAACCATGTATTGACGTTCTTCAAGGACTCTACAATTTAATTTATATCTTTTTTTCTTGTTTTTAGTTTTATTAGCTTTTTGATTTCTAAATCTCAATATGATAAACAATCTATATTGAAAATTTAATTATTCTTTACTCTGATACCAACAATAAACATAAACCAGAAAACGTAAAAATCATAAAGTGCAACTATAATAAGCAGAACGATCAGTTATAAGCATACATGAAAGTTGTAAACCCTATGCTAAAAGGACCCTTAAGCTGCTCCTTCTTCCTTCTTCCTTCTTCCTTCCCTTCTCTCCCTCCGCCAGTAATTCATGTTATATTCTAGCATACAAACACATGGTATGCCAGAATGGACTCAACCGGGTCGAACCATGGACTGCTATAAATTAGATGACCAAAACTGCAAACCTTGATGGTGATAATCAAGAAATTAGGAATAAATGTAATTCTTTTTGCAAATTTTTTATATCCTGCAATTTTTTCAAAGTTATAGTACAATATTTTAATATACACCTAATTTATTTTTAAATTCATATAGAAATACAATTAAATATCTAATAGCATCAAAATATAGGAATTCATCAAATTATCTCCACATATTTGTAAAATTGTAAAATTATCATTAAACATGTATTTCTCAGTGGAAAAAAGCAACATAAAGGAAATATTATCCCATATAGCTTACTCATATTCTGATAATTAATGGAAGGTTAAAGTTTTGTACTTCAACCATCAATTTCAAATGACTAACAAGAACTTGCAAGCAAGGTATAAAATATCAATACGGTGCCGATTTCAATTGACAAGGACTAGTGAATATCAGTCTGGTCCACGTTTTGTTTAAATATCGAGCCACTAAATACTGACTTATATTGACTGATATGGTATTTTAAACCTTGCTTTCGACTATTGTTTCATTTTAGTTATTTTAATTTGATTCAGTTGTCAAATAAGAAAGTAAATCATAGTGCCATAGTGGTGTCATTTGAAAAGTTGTTCCAAGAAAATGAAAAATAAAGGTCCATATAATTACCCTGATTTGTTGAGATAGTGCACTTAACCCAAAATCAGAAACTTTGAGGTTACCATATTCATCAAGTAGCAAGTTCTCCAGCTGCAAGCATTAGATGAAAATAATCAAGATTTATTTTCTCGAATATTTGCTAATAGCTCTAAAGAATCTTGAAGTTTGTAGTGTGCAACAGTAGTTGAATTACCTTTAGATCCCGGTGATAAACCCCCCTGCTATGGCAATAATCAACAGCATTCACTAGTTGCTGAAAATATCTCCGTGCCTCATCCTCCCTCATTCGACCATGGTTGGACTTAACGAGAAAACAACACTTAATAGAATGAAAACTAAAATAATAGGCAGTGGCTATGCAGACTGAGGAAGCTAATATAAATTTCACAAGATGTCTCATGTGCTGAAACACAGGTAAGCTAGCTTGGTCAAGAAAGTAGGGAGCAACAAAGAACTGGTAATTGTATACAATAGAATTGACCTAGAAAAGTATGACATAAATTGATTTTAAACTTACAATTTTATCAAAGAGCTCTCCCCCTGTAACATATTCCAAAACAATAAAGATCTTTGATTTACTGCCCATTACCTACAAAAATAGAAGCACAATTTGAGAGAAAAGCAAAAACACTTATGTTCATCGCACATCCACTTCAAGCTAGCATACTTCAAAAGCTAGAAACTTGTTTCCTTAACAAACATCAATCTCCAATATGCAAAGGAAAATACAACATTTAACAACCAGTGCTTGACTAACATCATTTAAAACATTTACTTTACTCGATAATTTCCTTTGTCCATGGCATCTGTTTATAAGGGCACACTGTACATCAAGTTTTCAGATCTCAGACCATATTGTCAATATAGACTAGCATTTACGGGTCTGACCAAATACCAGTTTTGAACATGGAGTGCGATACTAGTACGGTATCATTCATTTTCATTTTGTTTATTACCAGGTGGTCAGGTCAGTTACCGCTTCCTGGTATACCCATAGGATACCAGCTCAAATAGGTTATCAAAACCAGTATTAGAGAGAGATTTAAATCCTCGTTGTGCATGCTTGCAACTCTGCACATCAAAATAATGAACATATTTACCACTCAAGATCTCTGGCAGTTAGATAGTTTCCACCAAGATTAGACTTCTGCTCAGATTGTCCTTTTTACCTTAAAAGACTTCTAAGAAGCTAGTTATCTGTTTAAATAACTTTCTTCTTTGCTTATGTGTATCTGTATGTGTATCTCTTCTTTTGCATGACTGCATCTACCATGTATCGTTCCATACATGTGCATGCGGACACATTTGGTAGCATCAATTTCAAAATCAATATTGACTAGCTCAATTACAAATGCATCTTCGTCTACTTAGATGTTTCAAAGGGCTTGATGAGGTTTGGCAAATACTAGTCTACTTGCAGCAAACTATGGTGTGAGTTGCATCGAAATGTGTTTAAAGCATGTTAGGCATACATATCCAAGAGCATGCTTTTCTGACATTTCATTTGACAGCGCCGAATGTGCAATCTTGAATGAGATTAAGCTGTGGAACAAAAACAAGTCCATTAGAACCATTAATTTATGCAACATAAGTCAAAACTTACGGAAAATAACCAGAGGATGACCAAATGGCTCATTAACCTGTTCAGGTTTATACATGAATACTTGTGAGTTGTGTGGGTGGGTTATATGGTATACCAGTGCATTTTAAAAGTTATTTAAAGATAGTCATTTGATAATTCTGAATTATGAAAACAGCTTTCTTTGTCATTGCTCTGGAAATAGAAATTAAATAAAAGGTATCAAGGATTACCTCATGCAGACGAACAACATTTGGATGATTTATCAACTTCATAGTTGAAATTTCTCGTTTAATCTGCAGAAAACGACAACAGCATTCGATATTTAACATATTACATGCTTAAAACTAAGAGATTACTTGGAGAGCTCCTCAAAAGTTGTGATATAGATAAAACAATCCATAAGGAGTTTGATGGACCACTAAAGTTACGCGTCTGCAAATATAATCAGATAAAGGGACCATACAAAGCATCATTTAATAAGATGCATCAGCAGCTGATGGTACGGTGTCTTAAGATGCATTGGCAATTCATCAAAAAAGAAGTCCAATATTGCCAAGATTCTCCAAGCAGAGATAACAAGAGTGCTGAACTCAGGTTGCATCAGTTGGACTTGAATGATTTTCTTTTATACAAAAGATGTCAAGTGTTGGTTGATAATATCAATTTTCTTTATCTCATGCATTTGCAAAAACGACAAACAATGAGTTTAATGAACCTTTAGGACATCTGATAGTATTAGTTTATCAATTTAATTTACATCTACCTAGAACCAACATCATTCAAACAATTCTGGTATTTGACAAAACTGTGCAAATATGCGTCTTTTTTGTTTTTTTTTCAAACTTGTACATCAAATAAACATGAAAAATTAGTTGATCATAGTGGTCCAGAAAGAAGCATGAGATACCTCAGATTGAGCTAGCTGAATCAACTGTCAAAAGTTGAGACTTGGTGGTGCTTCCTGATAAAGCATTGGCCACCAACTGTTATGCTCATCCCACTTTTACATTAACAAGGTCAGAAGCACATCATTATATCATTTTGACCAGTGAACATGAAGGTAAGCAGTCAGCCTGAGCATGTGGTGCTATAAACATTCAGCATCAATTAACATTATCTTCAATGTTCATTAGGCAACAATTTAAAGACTAAACTAGTGTAATTATGTTTTAGTAGCTGATTGATGGGGAACGTTGTTTTTAATTCTTGGAGAAAAAAGCACAAGAAATGTTGGGAAATTGAAAGTGACCTGTTCAACCAGTTTGTGCTTGAGAACCTTTTCTTTATCGAGGATCTTGATAGCAACAGGTTCCCCTGTTTCGGAGTTTCTTGCAAACCTGACCTTTGCAAATGTTCCCTCCCCGATTGTCCGACCAAGCTCGTATCTTCCCACATAACGCTTCACCTTTTGTGGGATACTTGTCTTAGCTTTGTTCATTATGACTTCTTTTTGCTATCCAAGAACTCAACTGCAACAGATGCCTTTCTAAGTTGACTAATTGATGCACCTTGTTTGCTCTATAGAAGAATAAGCCCATTAATTCTTCAACAAATTTCAGAGCAAATAACAAAATTCAGCTCATTATATCTCCCTGTTTTCATCAAAATTCGGAGCATATAACAAGGTAATAGAAGTTAATCCAGTACTGATCTTACCTAGCACACACAAGTCAAAGTTCTAAAATACTACAAAATTTGCAAAAAGAATCAACAAGCTAATAATAGTCAGGCCACACTCTAGAAGATACACAAGAAAGGATCTGAAGCATCAGCATATAGACAGATTATTAGTTAACTAACAAAGTTAGGACAAAATAGGCATCGATCTTGTATACATATATCAGCGATTTTCAGATAAAGTAAATGAGAACTGAATATCAATGCTGATTCTAAGAATATAGGATGGAGCCAATATGTTGAAAAAACTATAGCCACCAGCTGTCCCATGTTCAGCAGATCTCCTAAAGAACAATTTTATACTATACAGATACAGCCCGTGCATATCATGCAATATTTGGCATAATACTAGAAGGTGGAAACAACTAGAGGGCCCTTGAAGTGACAAAGATACATAATGTCATGAACTGACAAATTTCAAAGTGTGCATGCAACCACTCTTTCTATTGATTCCTGGCAAAGATATAAGGAAAACTTGAGAAGCGTGTTGCTACTTGAATGCCTGAGGCAAACAATCCATAGACTAGTTCTTTACCCAGAAGTAGCACCAAGAAGGCCTGAACTAAAGGCACAGGAAAAGAAGAGAACACCTACATCCCAAAATTTATCTGATATCCCAGACTCAGAAATATCTTAATATCACCTATTTAAACCTTTATTCGAATCTAAACAGTGTAAATACTTAGCTCCAAAACCAGAAGAAAAGCCTTTAAGAGGATTAAGCAATACTTAAACCTTTTGGTTAGAGGTAAGATGCCAATTTCTGAATAAAAGACATGCCAACTTTGTCCACACAAAAACCATATGAATCATTAGATAAGCATCTCAAAAACCATTGATCAATAATCAGAATATAGACGCAAATAAATATACAAGCAAATCAGAACCAGTAATAGCAAAAGATTTTAAAAGTTCATCATAATCTTTAGATTAAGCAAAAAGTGTTTGCAGAAATCGCTCTGATAGGATCCCTTACGACAATTAGATGAAATATAATCTTTTTTACTTTATTATTTTAGAAAGGAGATTAAACAATAATTAAAAAGATGAAATCCCCTTCAAACAGTCAATTCAAAAAACAAGCGGTCAACGAACAGCAGCAGAACCACAGATCCGCCATCGTCTACGGACATCAGATCAGAATAGGGTTTCAACTGCATTGCTATAGATCCATGAAAAGATGTCTTGAAACAAGAAAGGAAGTGGAGCGATCAAGTCGTGGAGGCAAATCAAACAGACCTAAGATTCAGAACCCATCTACAAAATCCGAACTTACAATAAATAGGAACCTTAAAAAGATCTGAGAACCCACCTGTTCGATTTCAAATAAATCGATTCAAACCGATACAAAGCCCGAAACAAGTACAAAATTGGATATTTATTGCTACACGAGATCAAAGAAAAAGAGAAAAGTACCCTCAAAGAGGCAGAGTAGCAGCATGCATCATTCAGCGGTAAAAGTAACCAGAAAAGAAGGCAGGGGAAGTAGCGAAGGAAGATAACAAGGATGTGATCAATGTGGTGATGGGAGCTACGATATACATCTAAACTCTCTCCTTCGTTACGAGATCTGATCCAACACAAGAAAGCGACAAAAGCTTGGCCCGCGCGTTCTTTGTCCTTATCTTCTCACTCTCTCTCATCCTTTTGAATCGAAGTAGGCCGTAGTAAGAGCGGTGTCTTTTCGTACCATTTCGACTGACACCCGCCTCCAAGTGTGACTCGTCTCCGCCGTTGACGCCCTGCTCGTCTGCAACTTTTTCCTCCCCTCAGGCTTCCTCTAAATTTACCCCGTGCTCTCATTCTGCTTCCTCCATCACAACCACAGAATCCAAAAATCCTATCTTTAAATCATAAAAACTTCTAAGATCGTAGGAAAAAATAAGCCTATGAGAATCTGAACCAGAGGGCAAAAATCTCTCTTAAAACATAGATTTTTTTTTATGGCAGCAACAATTTTGGAGTTTCTTCCGATCTCACACATGGTCTGACAATTACCTTAAGCGATTCCGAAGTGCACGACGCGTGCACAAGATCGTCGTGGAGCGCAAGCAACAGCTGCAAGCGTGATAGCTCCTCTACAAGATCTGGCTCCGACCACCTTCGACTTGTCTCCTATTACCTACTCTTCGTTCTTTCCTGGCGACGTATCCCTTCCTCAAATGACCTCTTATCTATATCTACCTTCCATTTTGATCAGTGACTGTGACATTTAAATTGGGATGAGATAGGATTTGATATTATCACTTTTATGTATGTTTTTCCTTACTTTTAATGCTGACGTCGTAAGTTATTTGTCAAACGAAGGCTAACAAGACATATATATATATATATATACTTTTTTTATTCGGAGGGGCAAACATGCTATTCCACAACTTTGGAAGGACAAATATGTAAAACCGGTGATGCCTAGCCCACTTCAATCCTGGCCGCTTCGCATAGAGTTTATTAGCTCGAAGCTGGATTGCCCGCCGCTTCCCTTCCTTCCCTCCATCGAACCAATCCCTTCCAATACCAACTGGGAATCGGGTTTCTTCAATCATGGAGGCGGATGAACCGCGACGCAGTCATCATTCTCCACGCCGCGTTGATCCTATCGAAGAACATTTAATCGATCAAGGGTTTTTGCCTTCGAAAGACGAGGGCGGGAAGGACGACATCCACGGGCTGACGAAGCATGAGTCTAGGGTTTTAGCGAAGAAGTGCGGTGACCGCAATCGGTTTGCTTGTGGGAGGAGGTTCGGGATAGGAGATGTTGTTTGGGCAAAGGCCTTCGCTTACACTTGGTGGCCCGGCCGAATCGAGAAGATGAGAGGTTCCTCGGCTTGGGTGTCGTTCTATGGTTGCGTCAAGTCTCGGTTGGTTCGGGTTGTGGAAATCCATGGATTTGAGGAGAGTTATGCGCGGATGCTGAGGATAGGTGGGGTGAAGTTGTCCGATGCGGTCAGACTTGCTTTGGAAGACTTGCAGCGGAGGACTGCTTTAGGTTTGATGTGTTCTTGCAGGAGTTCGGCTATGGGAGTTAGTGAAGATTTGGATGATCAGATTGCCGAAGCGACGAGGTTTGAGCCCATGGAGATGTTGGGTTTTGTGCTTGATGTGGCGACTTCGGCTTGGGTTGGTGAAGGAGAAACCGTGAAGGCTGTTAGGATGTCAGTGCAGATTTCTGTCTACCGGCAACATGTGTCGATATGTCAGAATAGTGAAATAGATGAAAGGTTTTGCCCAGGTAAATTGTTGGATTTTGTCACCACGATGGCTATTTGTTGGTCCATTGATGATTGTGACTCTAGCAGTGATTCAAAAGCAGTGGCACAACTCGATGGATATAGGAAATTTGTTTCGGTCTGCCCAAGTAGAAGGAATCTGCAAATTGTGGAACTGGAAGACAACTTCCTCAGCGATGAGTCCGAAGGTAGGTTGATAAGCTCGGTCAATAAAATTTGATATTTGTGCAACATTTATGTTTCTTTACCACAATGTATGTTCTAAAAAATATGTTACATGTTGATAACTTGTTCCTATGTTATGTTTTGTCTCTATGACACATTTTACAAGTACATCAAGTGTAACTAGATCTAGTGAATTAATGGAAAGTGGAAACAAAGAGCTTTTTGGAAAATATTAATCTTATATATGCAGCGTTGAGCTACGTAACTTCATAGACCTCGGATGATTATTGCAGAATTTCATGCTGTCTAAGTTGGCTGGATTCATTAACAAATTATAATTTGATGCTTTATTCTTTTTCAGTTGAGATGCTCACCATAGATTGACAATCTAGAACAGGTTTTCGAAACCATGTGAATTAGTGTGGTTATTGATTTTCCTAGATAATAAAATAACATTGTAAACCAACTGCCTTTACCTTCTGCAGAGAAGTATGATGTGTCATCTGCAAAAATCAACAATCATCAAGTAAAACAGTCAGTATAGTCCCATTTTTCAGCATAAGGATTATTCAAAAAGTTCTTGTTTTAAGAAACATCTTGTCCTCCTCTTTTACCCTCTCAATAGAAAGTCTTAGATTCCTCCAATTTGTTGACATAGCTTATACTCACAAGATTTTCCCTATCAAGTCCATATTTATAAACTGCTGATCTGTTGATGTTATGTGAGGAAGTACAGAGAGAGGTAATGAAGAATAGATGGTGTTTGCAAATTGAAGTTCAGTTACCCTTATCGCTTACTAGATGCTCATAGATCTCAGACTGGCTATTAAGCTATTAAGAGTTTTATACTGGTATATTATATTAATTTTTGTCGTGCTCTGTTCATTTTATTGAATAACTCAACAAATAATTGGAGGTTCGGAGTAGTTCGTCCAATTAATGTTCTATGCAAGGATTGATGGAGAAGAGAAGTAACGAATGACTCATTTTTGAATTTGTATACTCATAAACCTTAGAGCATATCAGTGTTAAGGGCAGAATAAAAGTTGATAATAGTAGTATAGCCGATTCCTCTTGAGATCATATCACTTTGAACTTACCTCCGAGCTAGGGGTTTACCATTATTTTCATCATTCATCAGGACCTAGATTTGCTTCTTCATGGTTGGCATTTTTGTTTTCATAACACCAAATTATTTTTAGGTGTATGAAGTAAACAAACAAGAATAGGAAACATGATTTGGCCCACATATAGGTCTAGAATATTTTAAATAACTTTTGTCAGTTTGAGATCAGTCAGAATGCAAGTGCAGAAGGTAGGCAATTCCTCTTTTCAAATTGAGCACAACAATTTTCCTTTTAGTTTTCAAGGTTTTGCTAGATTGTCAACCAGAAACACTTAGATTTTCAGATTTCATTATCATTATATAACCAGTTGCACTACCTTCTTACCATGTATTCCTAAAGATTCATGGATCGCATGATGCATTCCCCTTGTATTACATTAAAACCTGAATTTTATGCAAAATATATCTAATTAAATATGAACAATGATAAAATAGAGAAAAGTCTATCCTTCTATTTGTAACTTGCTTTAGAACCATCGGCCAGAAAGGATGTAGATATGATAAGTGAAAAATGGTCCTTCATAGTGCCCCTAATGTAAATTTTCTTTTCCTTTTTTGCTGGTAGTTAATTCATCATTTTTCGGAGATGGGTTGTTGCTCCATTGATGAATCAGCGATTGGGCATGTTGTCATTTTGTTTTTATTTCTTGGGTGGATAGGCTTTCTTGCACTTTTGATTTATATGTGAGAAATGATGCACGGTAGAATCTTATGCATATTACATGAACCTTATATAATAGAGCAAGGATTCAAGTTTCATCTGGCAGAGGGATCTTACATCAAGCTATGTGTAATCGTGTGTTGCCAGTGCTTGTTGTTGTACTATAGCTTTGTTGACTTTCAACTAATTTCAGCTGGCACATGGCGCATGCTACTACATTCTCAACTCTCGTATGTTAATATTTTAAACCTCACTTTAAAGATTCTAAATTGCTTCCCAATCAAAAGGATATGACGCTGATGTGTGTAATGATAAATTCCCAAAACAGATGATTGCCATGAGATGTCCGATTCATCATCCGATGGTGAGATAGTAGTTGAAGCACGAGAAGTTACAGAAGACAATCATTTATTTGATAGACAAGAAGATTTTGAGGTTGTTCAATATCAAGTTCAGGGTGATGAGATATGCATGGTCAACAGGGCAGATTTCAGTCTCTTTGATCTAGATGAGGAATATGAATCTCTGCAGGATCATGAATTAGAACAAGTAGCTTATCATGGAGATTCAACTTGGGAAAATATCTATATGAGTGAAAAACTTGAGATGCAAAACTCAACAACTGGAATATCATTAGAAGAAGGTACTGAGACAACATCCACAAAGGCCTTTGCTTTCACAAGTGATGTTAATCAGATTGCAGATAATGGGACTTGTTTTAAATCGGATGAACAAACTATAGACTCCTTCTCTTCTTGTCAATCAAATAATTTGTGCAAAAATACAGTAGATTTGAGTGCCCATAAAATTGCTTCACCTGGTGAGGTTATTGATTATGATGGAATTTCTTTCGATGATTCGGGAACAGAAAACCTGAAACAACAGGATGGCAATGTTACTATTTTTGAGCATAAAGATATGCACTCCGCTGTAGGAACAGAGTCTTCAGATGAAAGCTCTTTGCTTCAGATTGCGCCATTGGTAGGCAGGCAGTGGGTCATCAACCATCGGAATGATCAGGAAACACAAATTCCAACTGAAGCAGTGAATGTGAACCATAAAATTCAATTTTCATCTGAGGTTGATCCAATTGTTAATCCAGGGGGCAATTTGGAAATTATTTCCAGATTAGGTTCTCTGAAAAGAACTGCTTGGCAAAGTGCCTGTAAAAAAAGGAGGCTTGATCATCCTTCTTCTTCCAAAAGTTCATTTATGTTGCTAAAAGGCCTGGAACCAGATGGAGAAGCTATAGCAAGTGCTGTGAACATGACTGGATGTTGCACTGCTCCTCATCCTGGTGAGGGGGGTATATCTGAAAAATCTGTTTCTAGAAAAGCTCTGATGCTGTCTGGGTCTGACAAAGATATGTCTCCTTCTGCAAAGAACTCTATTGTTTCTTGTGGAACTAATCAAATAAAAGGTGATATGAGAGGTTATTGCAGCACTTTTTTATTGAAACTTACAAATCAGACTAAATTCCACAGGAAAAAAAGGCATGATCTTCCTATTACTTCTGACATGTCCAACTGGACCAGATTTTATGTGTCTCCTCTGGCAAGAGACATCTCAAAATCAAGCAGCAATCTAAGAAAGCCTTCAACGACTGATAGAGGCAGTGGATATCACAAATCATTACATATGAAGTTCCCGAAAGATTTCAATCTTCCTACAAGAGAAGAGCTTGAGAACAAGTTTGGAGTATTTGGACCATTGGAATGTTCAAGAACTAGGGTTTTCTTCTACACAGGTGCTGCCCAAGTGGTTTTTGTTGACCATGCTGATGCTGCTGCTGCCTATAGATATGTGAAGAAGAAAAGTATATTTGGTGAAGCCAATGTACGTTTTTGGTTTGATGAGCATGAAAATTTCAGAAAGGAGCAAAAGTCTGATGATTTACCTGTCCCCTTGGTGGGGCACTCATCTTTATATCTTACATCATGCCATCAAGTGCCTGATACACTTCACATATCAGATAAGAAAAAGAATTGTGGTGCTAACAGTGAACATGTATCTGATGATATATCTGTGCACATGGAGGAACGCTCATCTCTAAGTTTTAAAACATACCATCAAACACCTGATGCAGTTCACAGATCAGATAAGAAGAAGAGTTGCAGTACCAACAATGGAACCACATCTGTACCTAACTTCAACAATTCTTCTTTGAATCTGAAGTCTTGCCTTAGAAAACCTGATTCTCCTCAGGGGAAGGACAAAAGGTGTAAAGTGAGATTCATTATTGAAACATAGATCACCTATGTGTTGTTGACTTCTCTCTTGAAGAACATGACATTTTGGTATCTTTTTCTGGTTCAGTAGCAACTAGAGCCAGATCTGCTCGAACTTTCAGCTAATGTATAAACAAGTAGTTTTTTTGTTTCTCAGCTGTATATAAACTGAGAGATGAGCATTGCTTTTCATAAACTAGACTGACACCTTTCTAATTCTGATGAAGATAAATTGGAGAAGATTAGAAATTTTCCATTCTGATTAATCTTCTATATAGTTCTTGGGTGTCAATACATGGGCCTTTTAAAAGAAAAAGAAGGAAAAAATGTGACATCATTTTTTTTTTAATCGGTGTCAACTTGTAGGAAATTTATATTTATTTTTGTTTGTTGCAGTATGAGATCCTTCCAAGCACAACTCTATTTCATGTGTTTTCATGGCATTCAAGTTTCAAAATTTCTGATTGAGGATCCTGCATAAGTATTGTGTATTTTCGATTTTTAGAGAGGAGCAGAGGCTGATGCCTGGCAACATATAGTATCTTGAATCTCATTTAAATGCTAGCTCACTGATGTGCAAACTCACCTGCAAGTTATTTCTATCAAGAGACTATCTATTTACACTGGTGACTCCATGTTTTACTATTCTTCAATTGATCTGTTTGTAATTAAACATAATTGCTATGTTCGCATATCCAATTTAGCAATTTGAAACATGATATCAGCAATGCGATTTATCTTCATTATTTGCTTCCAGTTCACTGCACAGCATATTACACTTTTAAGTTTAGCCATCTTTTTCTTCATCTCCTTCATGTGTGTGTATATATATATATCTCATAGGAGTTAGGGTAGATGTGTGGTTTGCTACCAACTCTTTCAGATATAGTTGCAAGTTCCAGCCTTCTAGAGCAATGGATGCTATTAAATAATTCTTTGCTGCAAGTGACTTGTTCAAATGATTATAAGTGCAGATAATCTTTTCTAATGATCTTATTTACTTTGTTTAGCTTGTAATTACTAGGTTGTAGTTTAATGTTGATTGGCTGCTTGATGATTTTTGTCAGTATTATAGTATCCATTAAGAATATAGTCTTATATAGTACTTATCACTGCATATATGGTGTTTTTTTCTCCATCATAATTATGCCAATGAACATGAATGCATCCTGTTATCAATACCATTTTGTTTCTTGGAGCAGTAAATGTATTATCATCTGCCATCCATAAACTTTCTTATTGTTTGTGTGTAATTTGACTTGTAGTGTTTGCTACATCCTTGGATGACTGCTTCAAAGTCCACTTCGTGGACCTTTTTCTGGGTTCCATTCGAGGACAATATTTCTAATTTGTATTTTATTTGCCTTGAACTAGCTTATGAGCATACTCTTCTTTTCATTTATACATTTCAATTAAGAGCAATTAAGCCATCTCAATTTCCAACACTTTTTGAATGCACCGAGGATGAACGAAGGATGAATGCATGCGCATGTAGTTGGTCTCCCAAAAGGAACCTTGGAACTCCTTGATTTCACCCGATACTTGGTTCGGGTCGAATCGGCTCATGCTGATCCGAACCAAACATGAACAAAAATAGACCGGGTCCAATCGGGTCACGCTGATCCAAACCACACCGACGGCGCCTGTAAGCAAATGGAAGCGGATCCGGGTTATGCTCCTAAGTGCATTCTGTACCCGATAATAATTTAATTTTAAAAAAAATTAAAAATAGCCATTTATCTTAAATTTAAAATGAAAAAAGACAAACAAAGGGGGGAGGGTAATAGAGGGGCTTATCCTTGAGGCCAATCCAGTGTCTCCGGATGTTGATATGGCTCTCCTCTCCTCCGCTCCTTTCTCCTCCTCTTGTCGAACTCTTTCTCTTCCCATTGCACCTAATCACTGTAAGTAATCTTTGTGTGTGTTCCCTGTAATCCATTTGCTTGCAAGATTTCTGTGGCGAAATCTCCTTTTTTTTGGGGGGCGGGGGGGGGAAGATATTTCTTTTTCTTTACTCTCTTCAGTATCCTGCTTGAATCTATCAATCTGATGGGCTCGTTTCTAGTTTGGGTGTTTCTAAACGCATTTGGCAGATTTTCTGTGACATAGTATCTTCTCAATGTAATCTTTATATGAGTTTTGATTAGGTCTTTCTTCTTGGTGATTCTGACGTTTGACCAGGCTTAGATTTTTCGAAATATCATCTTTTCCTGTGAGAAAATTTAGGTACTGGAATGGATTTGTTCTTGCAAATGAACATCGAGGGTGAGAAAATTTAGGTACTAGAATGGATTTGTTCTTGTAACTGAACATCGAATCTGTTTGGCTTGACTTGTTGTCATTTAGATGATAAGTTGGGCTTCTTTCCTTCACTATTCGGAAGCTGAAATGTGATCTAATTTCGTTATGCCATATTCTTGGAGCTAATAAATTTCTGTGTCAATTAGTTTTCCATTTAACATTTTTTTTTGTTGTAATGTAATTATTCATAAATTTAGTGCATTGGTTTCTCCAGTCGAAGAATTTCGTATTGGTCTTGTTGTGTTTTTTTTGGGGTTTCTTACTACTCATTTGATTAAACTTATCTTGATTTGGTTTAGATGAGTTATGATTGCACTTTTCAGCCTTGAGATTGCAAAGGAACCTCATCCTTCAACCAAGACCATTCAATGGAGCGAGAGTTTCTTTGCCTTCTCTTTTCATGGAGAGGAGGTTGATAATTGTTCGTGCTTCTTCGGAGACTGATGGGAAGGGGGAAAGTGAACCTGAGGCTTCTCCATCTGAGGGGTCTGAAGAGGCTGTGTCAGTGGAGAATCTTCCTCTAGAGTCGAAGCTGCAGCTGAAACTTGAGCAGAAGCTAAGGATGAAGCTTGCAAAGAAGATAAGGCTCCGGAGGAAGAGGCTTTTGCGGAAGCGGAGGATGAGGAAGAAGGGACGCTGGCCACCTTCAAAGATGAAGAAGCTCAAAAATGTATGATCAATGATGGGGTACCTTGCAGGTTCAGAACTGTCCCTTCATTCTCCATCCTGTTTTTCCTGCGTTGGGTATTGGTGAATGTTTATCTGGTTTTGTTGCATTATGCTTGTTAACTCCATTGACTTTTCAGTCAATGTAACAGTTTTTTCATGAAATCACTATGAGAATTTCTTTTGGTCCCAAGAAAATTAATCAATTGTACAATCTGTAGAGTTCTATCTCAAAATGGTTTCATCTCTAAAGGTTTTCCATTTCAGGGTTTCAGAATGTATATTCCATCGTCTTTAACCTTTCTCATGTTAGAACCAAGTGGAGTTGACCCAATTGAGGGATGCGCATGGATTATGAAATTGGCAACTAAAGCATCTTAGATATTCATCAATTCTGAAAATGAAGTAAGAAAAGGCTATCCTATGCTCTTTATGGACTAGACTGTTTTAGAGAGAAAAAAAAAAGGGAAAACTGCATCAATTGAAATCATTCTCATGCTTGATTTACCTTTCCTCAAATTTTCCACATGTTATCTAAGATTTATCTTTTCTCATTTTAATGTTCTGAGGATGTTAAGTAGTTTGCTTGTTTGCCTGCGATGTTAACTATATGAAGTCTCCAACTATGAAGATTATCAACTCTGTAGTTGTAGGTCAGACTATCATATGCTATTTATAGACCAGGCAACTGTTTGAGAAAAAAAAAGTGGAATACTGCATCAATTGAGACTACTCTCATTGTTGATTTACCTTTCCTCACTTTTTTCTCATGCTAGGTAAAATAATATATGATATCCTTTCTCACTTTCACCTTAGAGGATGCAAGTCATTTTCTTGTTTGTCGGTAAAGTCTACTTAGATAAGTATCCAACATATGATCAGTTCCGTGATTAAGGAAAAGTTTTAAGAAAAATGTGATCCTTGATATTGTATATCAGTTTAAAGCCTCTTTTTGTTTCTTCTTGATGTCTCGAGAAGTTGAGCTTCAAAAGTGTGCTCAGGTATTTCCATGTAAAACTTAATTGTTAAATGTTGAATTTAGTCATATTCAACTTATAGGAATAGTGAGCATATAGACCACAGAAATGAATTCTGCAATGGTCAAGAGAAAACAATTTACATCTGCTACATCTAAATCAAGTAATTGCAAGTTTACATCCCGCTCATAACATACCATGAAATTATCATGCTTTCCATCAAAATGCAAATGTATGTCAATTACAGACTCGAATCTACCTATTATTGTCCACACAAAGCTTCTATATTTGTTTATCATAATTCAAGGCTTCAAGAAACATCAGTGTGGCTGTTCTGCTGCTCAAGGAACTATTGGAATAAATGATTATATGTCTCTTTCTGTTCAGATGTCTCATTCTAATATTTCTACTCTGTTCCATCTAGTCTATCTCTTCTACGGTTTGATCAGTGTATTTTCCGTAGGTTAATTGGTGCATAAACTGCAATGAAACTGAAAAAAATCTAGAGATAAATAGGTCTTCATACAGAACATATTGTATGGAGTTAGTTCCACCAATATGCCCTCATTTATATGCTGTGCTATTTTCCCATGTATTTTCATTTGACAGCTCTTTGAGATGAAAATGTGACCTTCTGCTAAAAAATGGTGAAGTCCTTGCCAGTGAATCATGCATTAACTTGTTACATTGAAATTTTTGAACAATGCCTCATCTTCATGGTGCCACGTTTTCATAGCACAGGGGATAAGAAGTCTAGATATCTCATTCAAGTTATCTCATTTAAATTAGTGGCAACAATATAGTGATAGCTAAATAATTGATATGTTGAGGTTAGATGTTGGGATTCTTAATTTGACTAGCTATTCCAATTATCTGACCAGACCCTAACATTCTACATTATTTCCCAACACTATAAAGTAGAGATGGTAGGGAAAAAAAATACTGCAGTCTGTATCAGTCATCCATAGTAGCTTTTCTTTTCCTCTAGCTGTTCCAAGGAATAAAATTGGGCCATTAACTTTACCCAATGTTTAGTCTTCCATCCACTGCATAGGCCATATTTTCTATTTTGGGATTCTATGAGCTAGAGTCCTAAACAAACAAAATGTGGAATTGTCCACCAAATTAGCTCAGGAACCTATTTTCTACCACAGCAAAAAAATATTGAGAAAGTGTGAAAATAGGACAGTCAAATTAAGTACTTCCAACTATTTCAATTTTACTGCTTGGAGAAAGTAGCAGAACGGCAATACAAGATAACCTAGCATGTAATTTTGAATGGTATCACCCGTCCGATACAGACGATACGTATCAATCCGATAATATATCGGTACGTGGACCGTCTGCTATCGGACGGAACGTGCTACAGTGCTATACTATAGCAGTGATACAGTGCTATAGTAAGTAGAAGAAATATTTAAAAATGTTCGGTACGCTCAGGTGTACTGTTCGGTACACGGTATCGTATCATATCGAGGCAATCTCAAAATATCGGTATAGTACGGTATTGCATATCTTGGTTCAAAGAAGGCTAGACTCATTGGAGAAACTCTTTAAGGTCAAAATTCAAATGGAAAATTGAAGATTCAAGAAAGGATTAAGAGGCTGAACTGTGTTCTTTAAATGGTCTGGAATCTTTAGCTCTTATTCATTTCCAATATATTAATTAAATGGGACATCAGTAATCAGCCTTTGTAAAATCATTTTTCTTGCTTCTGCTGTTGGTGGAAATGTAAAAATAATGGTGGTCAAAGATACCCAAATTTATTAAGAATTTAAAATAGTGAAAGGAAAAAAAGAAAGCAGAATTTCTCCTTCACTTAAAAACATATATATCATTTCATATAGCCATTATCCAGTGTGATGGTGGGAGATAAGGTGGTCCATGCCTAATATACTGAGTTTGTAGTTGTTTTGCCTTGATCAACCTTCTCTCATCCTTCATGGTGATGGCACACCTTTGGAAAGTCATTGTTCACGAAATCCAGCAACCCCAACTCAACAAAATTCTCCATCTCCTCCAAATTTTCAATCACGGTTGGTGTCCCAATGAGCATGCTTGAGAGGTCACATTGTCACAAAAGTTTGAGGCTTTGGACCAAACTGTGCCATCACTACATAAAGAATCCCTGAAAAATCCACTTCAATCTTTATTGGCCTCCAGTATGATAATAGTCAGCAGATCATACACAACTTAAGCTGCTTGAGGTCAGACCTCCACCTGTCTCTGGCATAAGTATCAGGAAGAGACAAAACCCACCTTGAAAGGGAAACAAAGTGGAGCACTACAGTCATGATGAAGAATTCCTTGAAAGAATATTTCTAACATACTTTATGCCTTTCTTTAATTTGCAGTAGGTTTGTCTTAGCTATTATATTTGACACACTAAAAGGATGTGTGGTTATGATTACAGGTTGGTCCACACAGACCTCGAGGATAGACAAAAACACTGGAGTTCTCATGATAAGACTTTCTAAGTGTTCCATGGCTTTAGCTTGTCTTGATCATGACAAGGAAGCTGGTGATTCATTCCTACATGAAGTTGCTTCTCGGAAGAGGTTTTTGTGTAGGAATGATGGTGTACAAAAAAAATCAAACATTGCGGTGCTTGTTACAATGGATCAGATATTGCCTTCTAAAGTCCATTCCTTGGATGGCCAAAGAAGAGAAACATGGCATCTCCTTGCACTTTGGCAGGTCCATAGATGGATTCCTTTGCTTTTGCCTTTTATTTATTTCCCTCCCAACCTTTACTCTTCTCTGCCTTTACAGTTCGTCTCTCCTTCCTTTCCTTCCTTCCTTCCTTCCTCTGCTTCTATGCAGTCCTCTTACCTACCCTCTACGCTGCAGGAAGAGAACCTAGAGGGGAGATCGCGATGAAGGAGTTCAGCTACGAGGACATCGAAGCTGCGACCAACAGCTTCTCTTCCGAGCAGTTGATCGGCAAGGGAAGCCATGGAAGCGTCTACAGAGGCGTGCTGAAAGGTGGCGAGGTCGTGGCCGTGAAGAAGCCATCGGGAGGAACCCAATCCCTTGAGAACGACGCTAAACTGAGTAACGAGATCGACATACTTGCTTCTGTGAAGAATCCAAGCATCGTCAATCTGATAGGCGTCAGTCGCAGTCCAACGAGCAAGCTGCTGGTCATGGAGTTCATGCACCACGGTTCTCTCCATGACCTCCTCCACTCGTCCCCCGCCGCACCTGCGTGGCCTCGACGTGCCGTCATGGCTCTCCAGGTCGCTCGCGCCGTCCTCTCGCTCCACGAGGCCGCCCCGGCGGTCATCCACCGCGACATCAAGTCCGCCAACATTTTGCTCGACGGCAAATGGAACGCCAAGCTCGCCGACTTCAGCCTCGCCGTAAGAGACGATAGATTGCAGTCGCTGAGGTCGACTGTACCAGCAGGTACCATCGGCTACTTGGATCCGTGTTACACCGAATCGGGAGAGTTAGGCCCCAAGAACGATGTGTTCAGCTTCGGGGTGGTGTTGTTGGAGCTCGTCAGCTCGAGGAAGGTGATGGACATGGAGCGCGATCCTTCGCTGATCGTGTCGTGGGCTCTGCCCATGATCAGAGCTAACCGGCTCGACGAAGTCTGCGACGGGAGAGTGACGTTGCCGGACTACATGAGGAGGCCGATCGGTCGGATGCTAGGCGTTGCTGCGCGCTGTGTGTCGGAGGAAGTAGAGAGGCGACCATTGATGGGGGAGGTTGTGGGGGAGCTGCAAGGGGTGGTGGAAGGTGCAGTACTGTCATGGCCAGTGTGGGGTTCTGTAAGGAGTAAGGTGTGTGGGAGAATCCATAGATGTGTGAGGGCTTGGAGGAGGTGTGTTGAGAAGAGAGTGACCACAACAAGGATTGTGTGCAAGGATCACCTGGTTGATGGTGGGAACGATGACTGTGATGATGAGCGTATGGGTTCTAGGCAGGAGATGAGTTGAAGGTATCCCAAGCTATAAGTCTTCTTGGTTGGGATCCCATGGGAGACATTTCAGCGAGAGTTGAAGTTTTGCCTCGACGCACAGTTCATGCTCTCTCCTTTAAGCAGCTTTTTAACTGTTCTTTGTGTAATTGAAGAGACTTGAGTAGTCCCAAACATAGTTTGTTTGCCATCCAATAACACACACTTATTACATGTATACCCCGGGTTACTTCCACATCAAGTGTGCAAGAACATGGATGGACTTATAAGGGCTCGATGGAACTACTATTATTAATTTTAATTTTTTAATTTTAAATTTTTTTAATTTTTTAATTTTAATTTTTTAATTTTAATTTTTTTTACACTCATTTACCAAACTATTAAGGGTTTGAAACTTCATAGGATATATTATATACCTTTCTTAGTCTTGAGAATCGATCTAGTATTGAGCATGAAGAGTGGTTTGAGTAAAAAAAATTACATAGGAATATGATCGAGGGTAATCAAGACATGTAATCACCATTGGAATAGGCCTATAAGGGTATAAGATATGAAGATTATAATATTATAATTATTTATTTATGTATCAAAAGTTAGTAAGAATTTAAATTAACTTATAAGGACTTCATCGGACTATTATTATTAATTTAGATATAAGCATATCCAAAGTTAAAATATCAATTGTCGATAACGATAAATGATATTATAGATGACCTGAGGCTATAATAGGAAGGAATTACATGTGGGTGATGGTGATAAGTTAATTTATTATTTTTTAATGATTAAAATTATATATATATATATATAATATAATCTTTTTAGGTATTTCTCAAATAGTACTTTTTTTTTCCTAATTAGTCGTCCCTTAAAAACAATGTTGAGCTCTTTTCCTATCAATATGTTAGATTGGTCAAAGGCACCTTATGGACGATCCGACCCCACCTATTGATGTTAAACCGGTCAACACTTCACCTTTCCTTATTTGCAATTGAATCCAACTGCCTCTTACTCTCACTCCTCTACTCTCTTACCTCGCTAGCTTCTTCTCATACCTTCGGTTTTACTACAAAGACTTGCATATCTTATCTGTCGATAAAGCCCCCTTGTGTACCTCTTAACCCTTCACTTCAGCTTCGACATAAACCCCAAAAGTGTCTCTTGCCTCTCTAACTTCCTCTCGGACCTCTATTATCGTTGCAACATCTAACACACTTCATGCACCTTAGCCATCAACTAAACCCCCTTATGCGCCTCTTAGTCCATTTGCCTTTTTGCTTAGGGTTTTTCTCTCGAGTGATAGTGTAAACCCTAAAGTATCATGTGCTTTATCTTGTTATTTCTCTCTCAAACCTCTAGACTCTTGTAATTCTAATGACCTCATTCGTATCTTATAGTGTCAATGACCCTAATCTTTCATAGTCTTTATAATTTTGTTGTCAGTTATGAAACACTATATATTAGTATGAAAATACCCTAAAACCTGTCTGTTTTATGTAGAATACTTGACTAGACATGAATATTTCTAGTGTGAGTTTCGGCAATGGTGGTCTTTAAAATAGTATATCAATTTATAATATTATCGTTAATGATCTTCAAATTAATTTATCGACTATTTTTGTTTTTTTTCTCATTGGTTTCATGGTAATGCAGTCAGTCTTGACTATTTAAACACTATAATCATATATTAATTTATTTATTTTTAAATTAGTTCAAATTAATTTATTTTTAGTTTGATCCATAACCATGATTGCAAAATTTTGGTTAGCACTAGTGTCATGGTATATAATTAATAGATACATTTGCTTAAGATGATATAATAATTGGCATAATTATTATTGGTAATAGTATAGTTAGTTTACATTGCATTTGGCTGGTGTTAGTAGTAATTTACCTGGTTAATAATATTTAAATTAGTATTTATAGTGTTTTATTATCATGATCACAACAATGTATAGGTCAGAAAAAACACTATACATGGCATGAGTGTTTTTGTGTTATGATATAGTTACAAGCATAGCATTAATATACCATATTGGTAAGCTTATATTTGTTTTTTATTGATGGTATTAGTCATTTGGGTGATTAATAGAATTTTTATTGTCATTATCAAAATATTAATAGTTATAAAACCCATCTTAAAGATACTGATGATATCATATTATGATATTGATTAATCAGTTTTGGTTAATATTAATAGTCAAATAGTGAATGGATATTGACGACCTTAAAGAATGCTTGGTTGTACTAATAGAAAACATATGTAAATCTTATTATATTTTACCTTTTTACTCTAAGAATTTGCTATTAACTTGCTGGTGTTTTATATTTCATATGGATGGTTCTCTGAGCATTTCCTTTAATTGATCCAATTTATTTGGATGCTTCTCTACACTTGTTTTGATGGGTCATTCGTTCTTAGCATATAGGAACTATAAATAAGATGTTAAAGGTGTCCTCGGTAGGTAGATGCAAGGATTATTGATCTATTTTTTATATTTTTTATCTAGATTTATTTATTTGTAACAATATTTATAATCTTGTGTTTAACACTATCATAGATTATTATATAATTATGTCCACTAGATATGGAGGTGACTCTTTTGGTAAATATCAATGCCGCTACTACTAAGGTGATATTTTATTTTAGTGTATGTAATCATATCTTATTGTTTATTGTAGCTAATATTATCTTGATACTATATGTGTTTTATAAGAGGATAAGTGTTTATTATAGCTAATATCATTTTGATATTATATGTGTTTTATAGAAGGATGAATCTATGAGGACCCTAGAGAAGAAGACTATGACTATTAAGCTTAGAACTATAACGGTTGAGGAGGCTAGGAATATTGACTAGGTGGGTGATACCATTAAGGAAGTGTCAATGATTGTTGATGCAAATGAGGCTATGACTATTGAGGAAGCAAATATTATTGAGGTGGAGGTTAGGATTATTGAAGAAGAATCTAGGACTATTCAAGAGGAGACTTTGAGATTGACAAAGTTATGACCGTAAACGAGGATACGTTTGTGAGAACGACAAGAAAAAGGCCAGAAAGATTATAAGGACTATTTATAAAGTAAACAAACTTGATGAAAAGGATTATAAAATAACTTAATTTGTATTATTATTAGATAAGTGGGGGTTTGCGAAGCATGTAATAGAGATAATCGACAAACAATATTTTTCATCTTCAATAAGGTTCAAATAATAAAGGATAATGAATCCAACTGTAAGAGGGAAGAATCTTATGACTTCACTAATAAAAAAATCATATCAAAATCCCTATATTCTTAGAAAAAGAAAGCAAATTACACTTAGGAAGAAAAACAATAAGAAAATTAAAAATAATGATGATGAATAATCAAAAGTAGAGGGAGATAATCAAATAATAATAAATAATACGACTAGATAAATTGAGAATATGAATAAAGAAGAGAGGTTGTGGCTCCATCAACACGTGTAGAGATTACTAAAATTGAGGAAGCATAATATTCATTATAAAGTATTTATCATGAGTTTCATCTTTAGAATTTTTAGAGTTATAATTAATTACATATTCTACGTCATAGTATTATCACGAGACATTTTAACTTTAAAATTAATTTCAGTTTGAATTTAATTTATCGTCGGATGTTTTATTGTTAGTCTCATTGTGAGTAGTTATCTGTAACGTGAAACATGTAATCTTATTTGTAAATAAATAGTGTCTCTAGTTATTAAATTTGGGACGACAAAAACATTCATCTTCTGTAGATTTTTTTGGATATTATTAGATTGAGACGTCTTTATGGATGAAGATGTGATCGACACTAATTCTAGCATCATCAGTTGTTCCAAGCATTATTATGTACATAATTTTATGAGTAATTTACTTTTTCTACCTCTCACTAAATAATATGTTTCCAATGTTGTTTAACTAATTTGATTATTATATTTTAATACAAAAATATTATCAGTAAGTAAGAACTTTAATCTTCAACCCAAGCTATCAAATAAATTTTGATAGACCGATCGATTTGATATTTTTGCCCCTTAGCACAAAATTTCATTGGCACCTTATGGTGTTAGACTTTAAGAGAAAAGTTTTTATACATTATAATTTATTTTGGATTGTCAAGAGATATCGAATAATATTTAACAAAGACGATATATCCTGTTGCTTATTTATTTTAGTATTTTATTTATAACTTTATTGTTGTTATGCCAACAAAAAAACTTATCATAGAGATGACTGTGGATCAACAAGGATGCCTCAATAAATATATCACCACACATCACCCATTTGTTGGATGAAAAATCAAAGAAATGAAATGCAAACTAATTTGTATATTTTCTATCGATAGCATAATCTCTTGTTATGTTTGGTAATAATAATTGTGGTGTTTTTGTTATGAAATTTATGAAGGCTTGATTTATAATCGATCTTTCGATATGCAATAAGGGGACATGCATGGATATTATGTAATTTATTATTGAAGATAACACTGGTAATGTCCATTACTATGATTCATGATCCAATCTTGATTTGGAGGCACACGTAATGTCAATTTGATAAAAACAAGCACTAATATAAATTTTGGGATGAAGTGTTAATTATGTGATGGTATATCACTGTCACTATAAGTGATTTATAGTGTTTTCGTTGGTGTTACAGTGATTTGGTGGTATACGTGATATAATGTTTCGATAACTTGTGCAGTTCTATTAAGTTATGTTGCTACAGTAGTTTTTGTTATAGTGTTTGGTTGTTGCGATATCCATTTATACTATTCTATGTGTTTTATAATTTAGGGGTTTTGATTAAGTGATTTACAATGTCGTGTGTGTTTTGGACAATGTAGAATATTGTTTTTTTAGTGATTTATAATATTATTGTGTGTTTATTGTGTTACAATGTTGTTGTCTAGTGATTTACAGTAAACATCATGAAATAGTGAACCTTTACAGTTATCATTTATAGTGTTTTCAATATAGTTACTAAAACACTCTAATTCTGGAGGAACTGTTTTTCTTTTGTTTTTTCAAAACATTCACAATAAATCTTGAGGATATCGATCTAATTTTTGTTTTTACAATATGTTTTCAATAATGTCAAAGAAATATTATAATGCTAATCTAAAGTTGTGGTTTAGATTTAAATTTGTTTTGCTGGACTAAAGGATTTCAATCCAGTCTTTAACAATATATTATTTTTCAAGGATAATTAAAAAAA